GTTGTGGTGTTACATCTTATAGATACATCTATTAACTATTTGTTGAGCTCCTGTGGTGGCGTCTTCAAACAGCTGAAAGACCTCACTCCAATTATACATGCATTTAGCCCTTGGCCATTGCAGGGCATTTATCAACATGTACCATAATTAATTTCTATGTTTTTGCCAAGAAGAGAGATTACCCAGGTTATCAGCAATGGTCTTCCCTGTTACCAACTGCTATCACTTTTCTAACCAGAATAAACCTAATTAAAATACTGTATCCAACTGAAAAACTGCTGCAATAACCACTGAATTAAAAGTTGACATTTAATGGTCTTACAGAACAGAAAAGTTCTCTGTTACTTATAATTTAATGCTACTTATAATGTCATGTGTTACTTATACACATACGTACTTATTTTTCATTCCTTTTCTTGATTCCTTTTTTTTTTTATTCACTCCTTTTTACAAATTCAAAGTTTAACTACTAATAGAAAGGCATATACATCGGTAGTATATAGGAATTATTAGAATACCCAGAAACCACTACAGCATGGAAAGTCCCTTTCTTACATTGTGAAGAAAAAAACCAAACACAATAAACAAGCAAACAAGGGAAAGAGCAATATTTTTTAAGGAACTAACATAAAGGAAAAAAAAAAAAGTAAGTTAATGTCTCCATTAAATCTGAGTCAGGATCAAAATCCACAACATTCACTCCAATAGGAATGAAACTTCACAGAAGGATTTGCAATAAAGGTACCTAAAAAAATTTACTTTCATGTATTTAACTTTCACTACTTGAAACACTGGAAAAATATTCTGTGGAGAGATAAAGTCTCCTGAGACAAAACTGTAAATTTGTTCTTGGAAAATGATATGAAAAATATTTTCATTATTAGGCACAACTGCTAGCAATGTAAAGACAGTTTCTCACAGGAAAAAATTTCTCATTGGTCTTTGTCATGTAATTTTTTTTACATTTAAGAACTAACAGTATAATAATATCCAACACAGCAATGCAATAAGGTTTATATTTTATATTCAAATTTTAATATACGATGCCTTTCATGTAAATTAAATAGTACTATTTATTACAAATCTCATGGCTATGAAGTGCAGCTCAGGCCTCATGTGCATCATTTTTTATCAGAAGCAGACATTCATAATGCCTCTGTAATAACAATACAAAAGTGAACACTGTCTGACAGTTCCATACTGCTGCTTACATAGTTTTGCTGTACAAAGAGCAGAAGCACCATATTCACTGCTGCTTTTGAAAGCATTTTACCATTCAAATTAACTGAATAATAATTTCAAGGGCTCTTGTGAGAGCTCCATATGTAAATCAGCTCATTGTGTTGCTTCTCATTCAAGCTACTGTGGTTTATTTCTTCACAGTTTTAACAGCATCAGCCATGTTGGCTGGTCAAAGTAAATAAAATGACAGAAAAACACAGTGAGAGTTGAAAGAAATTAAAACAGCTGGAATATTTCTGTGAGTAGGGATATGTACAGCAGCCCCCACAAAGGTTTCTGAGATTTCTCCCCCCGAGAATGTATTACTGGATTCACATAGAATGACTGACTGATGAAGCTTCCTCCTTACTCCCTTACGTGCCCACAACTCATTAGAACTGTGAAACCAGTCCAACCACCCATCTTAAACCTCAACAGCTGGATTCCTGAAACTATTTCCAGAGTAGCTGATTTTCTCAACTGCTGGGTATTCACTTGACACTTGTGTGAAAGGGTAACAACCTGGCTGATACAGCCCTGTCTACAGAACTGCACCTTTTTCTCTGTGACTTCTTTTGTACACTTGGATAGTTTTACTACAATGGCACATGGCTCAGATTTTCCAGTACATCTACGCTCACATCAGGAATGTATGTCATAATAGTTCCTCCATAGTGGTAATGTGCACTCAATTTGCAAAGCCTATGGAGAAAAAAATCTAGACAAAGAGATAAATATCAGGAGTGACACATGAAGAAGTATATATCCACTAGATAATCCCAATTCTAATAAAAATTTTTCAGGAAAGCTGGTAATTGTCCCCAGGATAAACGCTCTGGATTCTAACTAGATCAGTCAAGCACATATTGTCCAACAGAGCTTGGAAAAGTATGTGAGGTTCAAGGACTTTTTGGAGGAGTGATAATTTTCAATTCAGAAAATGTGGAGGATAACAACTATTTAGTCGCAATCAGACAAAAATAAGCAGCGACACTTTTTAGATAAATACAAGAAATAATTAAAGCCCCAAAAGAGAATTACATCATTACACAAAACAAATTATATGCAAGGCATATGTGGGCAGGGATGGTTTCGCTGCATGTAATCTGGAGGCATTAGTCCCCAAAAGAAACCACGAAGTTGAGACATAAGCAGCCATATGCCAAGGACACGCTCTTGGAATTTCCAGGAACTGAGCCCTGTGAAAAGCATGAAGAGTGCTTTGGGCCGAGCGCTAAGTAAAAAGGGATTGGAACAGTGAACCAACCCCTGCTGTTTGGTTCTAATGTGTTCAGAGAAGTAAATTCTTTCAAATATACAAATTTCAGAAAGAAATATTCAACTACAGCATAAATTATTTTTGTAGGAGAAACAGCCTAGTGAACCTGGACCCTTTTCAGTCATATAGTAATCTCATTGGAACCATTCTTTTCAATAAGAAAAGTCAAAATATCTCTATGGTCTATCACTATACATGAAAACTATTCATATTCAAGCATCATGCACAATAGTTCATGAAAAAATGAATTAAAAATGCATTTGTTTTATACAACAGGATGTCAAAACTTCCAATAAGCAGCCTGAATCCCCACAGTCTGCCAGAAAGGGGCAGTGAATCTCACAACTGGCTCTAGATATTTTCCCCTATTGAGAAATGGCAAACTTCCACTGTGTACTTCTATGTAATTTATGCAGTTCACTACCACACAGATGCAAATCCTGCCATACAGATTACAGAAGAATCATCAACTAGGCACTATTCTAATAAACTTCTTCTCTAGCAGTATTAAATACATGATTTCAGCCAGAAGATATTCTGAAACTTGAAAGTTTCAGAAGGCAGCAATCTCTTCTTGCTTGATCTAAAAGTTCAGCTATCTAGATTTTGGTGGGGCTTTTGAACATTTTGGCCAGCTATAGTTTGTCAAAATCTAATAGGCATATTTGTATCACACCTGGTGTTCAGTTTGTGTACCACACGTGCATGAAACCCAGGTCTCTGGTTTTAGAATTCTACCTCATTCTGTACCCAGGAGGACCATGCTCAATTACTGGTATGCTGGTCACTCATTGCTCATTGCTACTTACTCTCATTGTTCAATGTACAAACTTTCACCCTCCCTATGCATTTATGATACAGACTCTTACCTTATTTATTATTTGAAGCTCCCACAAAGACAAAATTATTGTACTCCTAATTCCAATCATGTTCATTAGTATGATGCCAAAGGCATCAACACACATATGGTTACAATATCCTTGTGAACTACAAGGACAGTTTCTTTCTCATTTTACAAAGAGAAGCTGAGGCATGGAAAAAAAATTATGCATTTTTATAATTACTTGTTTATTTGGAGAGATCCATTAGACCAAATTTTTTAGTATATATTGTATGGTTAAAAGCCAGCTCCTAGTGTCTTTCAATACAGCAACTTTGCCCAAAACCCCATAGGAACTCTACAAAAGACTGTTCAGTGTTCCTGGAAAGCATTCAACTGCCTTCAACAAGACACAATCTCTCTTTGTGTATTTCCCCACCTCAGCCATTACAAATGTTCCCACAGGTGAAGGTAAGTATGAACAACAGCATCCTTTACTTCATGATCCCTCAAAACATGCCCTAATAGATAGAGAGAACCCAACTGGTAAAAAGACTTGATCGAATAATTTAAGGCTATATCACTACACATATTCAGAAAGCAAAAGGAGATAACCCAGGATATACAAACAATCTAAATTGCAGCATTATCTAGCATTCAAAGACACACTATATAACCTCACTGATCTTTTAAGGTAGTTTTGAGCATATAAGTCCTTGGTTTTTTTAAACAAAATTGAAAAACAATTTTCATCATATCATTTTTTCTTTTTTATTGCCACCCAGAAAACATTAACAAACTCAGAACCCACAGAGGGATCATACAAGCCTCTGTCACTAAGGCTCATGGGCACATCAACAGTAAAATCTCAGATGCCGGCAAGAGAACTCCAGCAGTGGGGTTAATGAGAAAAAAGAGTCAGGCTCGCTCCTCTCAGGTCTGATCTCACCTAGATTTGGATCCAGAGAACAGAGCAGCAGCTCTGAGGAGGTGGAAGTGCCTTAGAGAGTGGCTGGAAAGCTGTCTGGCAGAAAAGAACCTGGGGCTGATGGTTGACACTTGGCTGAATATGAGCCAGCGCTGTGAGCTGAGGTGGCCAAGAAGGCTAATAGTGTCCTGGCCTGTATCAGAAATAGTGTGGCCAGCAGGACCAAGGCAGTGATTGTCCCCTGTACTCAGCACTGGTGAGGCCCCACCTCGAGTCTTTTCCAACCTAAAATGTTTTTATGATTCTATGAGTGGATGTATACATACCACAATTTTTGGAAAGTTTACCTGTCAATCAGTTCTGGGCTCATTTTACAGCATGGAAGAAGAAGATACACCTGAAATTTGGTTCCTGCCCAAATGACAATCCTGTATTTACTAGAGCTTAGCAAAGAAAAAGTCAGCAAAACATTTCTAAAGGGCATATTACTTTTCTCCTACCTTCTTTCCTTGAAACAGCTCAGATTTTTTGATGCAATCAATAGAAGTCTGAAAAAAATTCAGCCTAAACAATTAAAGCACAGCAAAACTATAACCAACTGACAACCAGATTTTACCACAGTAATGTAAAGAAACATAGTAACAGAACGAGAATTAATAATTTCATCCCAGAGTTTTCCCTACACATTAAAAAAATAAATTATTACACAGGAACTCATGAACATAATGTAACAGTTAAGAATGAAAACATACACTGCCTGCCTCTTTCTTGGTGTGGTGAGAAGCATACCCTTGTCGTGGTGTCATTTTCAGTTTTGTTTTGGAATTGAGAGCACTTCAGGAATTCTGGCCAAGAAGCGTTTACCATACCCAGGACTGGTTCACAGCCTTCTTTTGCTGCCTCACAAAATGTCCTGCAGGGCAAGAGGCCTCGGCTGGAGAAAAGAGACAGAGAACAAAAATGCAAAGGATTATTACTCTACTAGATTGTGAAAACATTTTAAAAAGAGAAAAAAGTGATAATAAACACTTTTGAAGAATTTTACATTCTACAGACCTACACCAAAAATGTGCCAAATCTTCATTATTCCATTAAGGTGACATCAGCTCTGGCTTTCAGGCTGAATTTAAGCCGAAATCAAGCTCAAAACAGTGGGACAGATGCACTCCTGCTGTTTGAACTAACTGAACTTTGGTACAATGGGGGGCTCAGCAAGTAGGCCTAAATGAAGTTAATGCTGTTGCATAAGGCTATCGGTGAGAACTCAGCACCAAACCCCAAATAAACCGTTCAGCTGGAGACTGGGCTGAGAAGCGGCCAAAACTGCATTAACACAGCAGAAAATCTGACTATCAATTGTCCCCTGTACTGTGGTGGTTGGAAGGGACCTCAGAGATCATCGAGTCCAACCACAAAAAAAAACAAACAAAAAAACAAACAAACAAAAAAAAAAAAACCCACCACCCCCCACCTAAACACAAACCAAAAAACCATCACCCACCCACTCAGCAGCCCACAACAAACCAATAATCTTGGGCACTAGAGCATGCCCTGAAGAAACATGTCTACACGTTTCTTAAATCCCTCCAGGGATGGTGACTCCACCACCTCCCTGGGCAGCCCATTCCAATGCCTGATAACCCTTTCAGTAAAGAAATGGTTCCTATAAATCAACCACTTTACACTATAGATATCTGCAGCCATCCGGGGAGTCGAGCTCTCCCTCCATAGCAGCTGGCTGCATGGTGGTGACCCTCCCTTGAGTAGGGACACCTCTCAAGGTTACCCCCCAAGGCTGAGAGATCCCTTACCTGACACCAGACAGCAATGGGTTGGTAAGTGACATTTTTTGTGTGCATGTAACATTTAAGATACATAAAGCAAGCTACACTGTAATCTTTGTATCCCATCCTAAATTTAAGTGTAGTAAATAGCAGAATATTGACTGGCCAATCCATCTACTTATTAAATATTTTACATACCTAAAATTTCTGATTAAAACTCAATAAACTAACGACCAGATCAGATGTGAGTGATCTCTGACTCTTCTCCTACGACTGTTTCTAAGTTCAAGTCTGTGCAAGCTGAAGCTGAGATTTCATCAACAGTTGAACCAATGTAATGGTTTAGTGACACCAAGCAGGAAAAAGCTTGCTCTTCATCCTCTCCCTTCCACAGCTGTGCAGACCTGCCCCTCTCTGACTTTGGCAAACGCTTTCATGAGCTTACAAAAAATCATTAATTTGGCAAAAAACTCTTCATCTTTTTGACTGGGTAAGCTTTCTGAGAACTTAACTATGCTGAAACTGCTCATGGTGAGGATCAACAACCACCAGACACAAACCATAGAAACCCACAGTGGAGAGGAATATATCACCCCCTTTTTTAGCATTTATGAGCTCTTACACTATTTCCCCTGAGTAGTCAAAGCATACTGAGTGTCAAATCAAATGCAATAAATATCAACATGTCCTGAATTGTTTTTTTTTTAATACAATTGGGGCAGTTATTCCTAAGTATATAATGAAAAAATATAACTCTGGCTTTGACTTGTAAGTAAAAGGTCTTATTTTTTTCAAAAGCATTATTATGCATTGCTGGCTTTGCTTTACTACAAAATATTACAACACCAAGAACACCAAGAACTTGGTGAACACCAAGACTGGGAAAGTATGCCTTGCTTTTTATTCGTTTTCTTATCTAATTTAGAAATACAGTCTCCACTGTCTTAACTGTCTATAACTTCAGGGTCATCTGCTGAGATCATCAACAGCACTGTAAATAAAGATAATCAGAGAGGTACTTGTACTTAAACAATTATATCATTTATCATAATCGTGAGCTGTCTACACCAATACCATATGTGATTCACGACTGTTAAATTCCAAAAAGATTCAGCAGAGAAAGTGATGTAATTGAAGTGAATTTCAGCTAAACAAACATTACATTGACCTGGGAGGTGATCTGGCACAGTATTTTGTAAGGAAATAAAAGTGCTTAATGTGGAAAATGTCAACCTACTCTCAATGGAAGGAAAAACACGTAGAGAGAGCTAGAAATACCTGTTATATTGTTAAGTGTGGCGCTCCTACAGAAACAGCTGACACATTCAGAAATGCTTGAGAGAATTTCACCCATACAAGTCCATAGGACCCAAGAGGCTGCATCTACAGATGTCCAGTGCTTTTGTAAGGCCTATCTCTGTCATCTCTGAAAGGGGAAGTTGTTCACAACTAGAAAAAGGTAAATGTTGCACCCATCTTCAAAAAAAGGCCAAAAAGATCAAGCGGGCTAACTTTAAGTTACTGATCAGCCTGATCTAGTCCCGAGGAAAATCACAGAGTGAGTCCTCCTTGAACACATTTCTGGGCACAGGAAGATGATAATCTGGAGCAATCAACATAGATTTATCAAGGGCAAATCATGGCTGATCAGCCTGATTGCCTGTTATGATAAAATAACTAGACACATAATACTGGGTTCTATCCTTGTTTGGCATCTTTATCAAGGACCTGGAAGAGGTGCCCAAGTGTGCTCTTGGCAAGTTTGCAGATGACACCAAACTGTGGGAAGCAATCAATGTACTTGATGGTAGAGTGGTAGAGCTGCCATTCAGAGGGACCTAGGCAGACTGGAAGAATGGACCAAGAGGAACTTTAAGAAATTTAACAAGGGTGAGTCCTGCACTTTGGAAGAAAGAACCCACTGTAAAGGTGCAGCCTGGATACTGATTGAGAAGTGAAACAGGTTATCCAAAGAGGTTGTGTAATCTCCATCCTTGCATGTTTTCAAGACATAGCTAGGTAAAGCCCTGACTACGTAATCAATGTACTTCTGCTCCACTGAAGAGGGAAGGAATATCATGATAACAATGAACAGTTTCAGAAAAATGAAATTACTTACTGTTTGACCTACTTAAATTTGGTCTGTTGAGGGAAATTCCCATAGAAAATGAAAACAAAACTGAAAGAAATATCACAAACTAACATAAAATTAGAAAGTTGAACTGAATATACTGACATTTTTCATAATGTCGGGTGAACTACAAATTCTTGATTTACTGGAATTTGGAAACGACTTGAAGAACTATTACAGAACTAGTTACCCAACAGAAAATAAATTGCCTAGCCAAGAACAATCCAGTATTCTGATATTTTGTTTGAAGTTTCAGAAATAAGTACATATAAAAACACAAACACAGATACACATGCACAGACACTTCTAAATATCAATGTACTTAAAGTAGTTTATAGTAAGTCTAGTCATTAATGAAAGTTGTCATATTTGAAATAGCTAATTTATTGCAGAAATATAAATGCATGAGTCTGAATCTTTACCATATTCTTTTCTGTAAAGATGCAGAGTCTCCTTAGTGTTTGAGGAGAAACAAAGGGCTATTTCAAGAAATAAGTCAATCTGTCACTCAAGTTTACATCTTGGGGATCATTGTCAGCCTGCACTTCATTTTGTGTCTTCACATTGAGGCCACATTTAGATCCCACAGACCATATTTAACATGTTTTGTCCCGTACCCCTACACTGGTTAAATTTTCAACACAACCTTTCGCAATTTATATCTAAATTACTGCGGAACATTTTGGGATTTAGCAAATGCAATTTTGCTTCATTCATAATGCCACAGAAGAGATATTTTTCCTCATACCCCACTTAGATCATATAATCTTTCTCTTCGTGTCTGACTTTGGTTGCACCTGCCCACCCCAAAAATGTGGCTAGAACTCATGCTTAGGCACAAGCAGCCTGAACTGAAAAAGCCCACAGTACACAACAACTTACTGTTTCATTTTACTGTAATAGAGAAAAACAGTACTATTAGCAACTATGTGATACAGCAGCAAACCTCACAAGCAAGGAATAAAAAGCTGCCAGAGCTGCCTGACCACTAGTAGTAACATGAAGTAATTGGTGTAAAGAAAACTATTCCCTTGCATAGGTATTCTGAAGTCAGTATGGTTGCCTTTCTCTTCTTAGTACCCAACAAGAGGAATGTGCTGCCAGTGTTGTTACTGAGTTCATTACATGTTCTAGTTGGAACCACTGCTTCAAAAAGGTATCTTTGAGATATATTCTCCAGGTAATGCTAAGGACTTTTGCACAATGCACTTTACATGCAAGCCAAGGACCTTTATCTCTAAAATTGTCTCTTGCAGCTTCCTAGTTGGCAGCTTCCTTGTTGTGGAAAGAAGCAGATAGATTCTAAAATAGTACTTTTCACCACCAGATTGGGATGTGTCAAAAGGTGGAAGATTTCAGCACCATAAAGCACGTATCTGGCTGTGTACAAAACCAAGAACAAATGGTCCCTCCCGATGACAGGAAGAGCTGCCACTTAATAGTTCTGCACATTGTACTGGCAAATTAAAAGTTTATTATCTGACTTGTAATGGCTCTTCAGATAAAGATGTTCTAAAATATTATTCTGTTTTTTACAGGACCTATTTGATATGGAAAGAAAGAAAGGGCACAGCAAGAGCTCTGCAGTACAAACTAATGCTCCTTACTGGAGCCTGAGAAACTCCCTAAACAAATGGGATTTGGCAAGACAAGTGACTGTCCCCAGTCAATTTCATGTAGGGTTTTGGACATTTTTAGCTTTTCATTTTTAACTAATCAACTACTTCTAAAACTTTATATTAGCATAATCAGAGATATTCACATGAGCAGACCACTGGTTTAACAGGGGCTCCTTAACGCAGAAAATGCCAAAAAAAGCGCTGCTACTTACTATGGAAGGAGAATGAGTTCCAAAAGATCTGTAAGAAATAAGATGCCATATAAATAGCATGGAGTATTGATTTGATCTATTTGTGGATGTGATTTATTCAGATTGATATGCTTAGAGTTAACATTTTGTTTACTTTTTAGGAAAACACACAATACGCTACAAAATTACATTACAGTGAAAAGAAACAT